ATTATATCCTGGGTTTATGGGTTAGAATAGTTAATGCTTTTAAAATATCAATACCCCTCCCCATCCATCTATAGATATAATGAAATCCTTAACAATATTCTAATGGCGTTTTCCAAAAAAAAAAAGAAAAGAAAAATTTGGGGAACCAAAAAAGACTCTGAATAGCCAAAGCAATCCTGTGAGACAAAAACAAAGGTAGAGGCATCACATTTCCTGATTTCAAACTATTACAAAGCTACAATAATCAAAACAGGATGGTACTGACATATAAACAGACCAGGCACCAATGGAACAAAATCAATTGCCTGAATATACCCTCATGTTGACAACTAGTATTTCACAAGGGAGCCAAGAATACTCAATGATATTCTCTTCAATAAATGGTTTGGAAAATTTGATATCCACATGCAAGAATACAATTGACTCATATTTTATATCATTAACAAAAATTAACTTGAAATGGATTAAAGGCTTAAATGTGAGACCAGAAACCTTAATATTTCTCCAAGAAAACACAGAAGAAAAGAAAATCTCCTTGACATTAGTCTTGGTGACAGTATTATGGACCTTCCACCAAAAGCACATGCAAAAAAAGCAAAAATCAACAGGTGGGACAACATCAAATTTAAAAACTTCTGGCAAGAGAAGCCATCAGCAAAATAAAAAAGGTAACCTACAAAATGGAAAAAATATTTGCAAACTAAATACACTAATAAAAGACAAAGATGCTAATTGACCATACCTTCGCTATGCCCTAAGCCACGCCCACCAGCCAATCAGAGTGACTAGATGCAAATTAACCCAACCAAGATTGCGGCCAGCAGCCACGGAGCTGGAGCAAGCATGAGGCTTGGTTGCCCAGACGATGGAGGAAGCCAAGCTTCCTGCCTGCCCTGAGCTGGGGGTGGCTTCTGCTCATGGCAATGAAGTTTCAATTATAGAAGACAAATAAATCCCAGATACCTGTTTCCAGCCAGCCTCCACTGGGAGCTTGGGTGGCTGGGGGTTGTGGCCAGCCTGAAAACAGCCATAAGCCCCTCACCCAGGCTGGCCACACCCTCATGGGGTGAGGATCCCCACTGGGGGCTTAGCCAGCCTAAAAACAGCCCTCAGCCCCTCACCCAGGCTGGCCAGGCACCCCAGGGGAGACCTCCACCTGAAGGGGCTGTGGCCAGCCTGCAAACAGCCATCAGCCACTCACCCAGGCTGGCCAGGCACTCCTATATAATAAAAGGGTAATATGCAAATTGACCCTAACAGCAGAATGACTGGGAATGACTGGTCACTATGACCCATACTGACCACCAGGGGTCAGATGCTCAATGCAGGAGCTGCCCCCGGTGGTCAGTGCACTCCCACAGGGGGAGCTCTGCTCAACCACAAGCCAGGCTGATGGCTGCCAGTACAGCAGTGGTGGTGGGAGCCTCTCCCGCCTCCTCAGTAGTGCTAAGGATGTCCGACTACAGCTTAGGCCTGCTCCCTGCTGGCAAGTGGACATTCCCTGAGGGCTCCTGGGCTGCCAGAGGGATGTCTGACTGCCAGCTTAGGCCCAATCCCCCAGGGAGAAGGCCTAAGCCAGCAGGTGGTCATCCCCAGAGGGGTCCCAGCCTGCGAGAGGACACAGGCCGGGCTGAGGGGCCCCTTCCCCCGAGTTCACAATTTTTTGTGCACTGGGCCTCTAGTCTATCTTATAAGGGTTAATATCCAAATTATGTAAGGGGATAATACAACTCAATAGCAAAAAAAAACAAACAAAAAATTTGATTATTATAAATGGACAGAGGGCCTGAATAGACATTTTTCAAAGAAAACTTACAAATAGTGAATAGGTAGACAAAAAGGTATTTAACATTACCAGTTTTAGAAATGCAAACTAAAATCACAATGAGATATTATCTCGTACCTGTTGGGATGGCTAATATAAAAAAGACAAGAAATAGCCTGGTGGGTGTGGCTCAGCAGATGTCGACCTATGAACTAAGAGGTCACAGATTAATTTTCAATCAGGGCACATACCCGGGGCTCAATCCCCACTCGGGGGCATTCAGGAGACAGCTGATCAATGATTCTCTCTCATCATTGATGTTTCTATCTCTCTTTCCCTTTCCCTTCCTTTCTCTGAAATCAATAAAAACATATTTTTAAAAAGATAAGAAATAAATATTGGCAAGGATGTCAGAAAAATGGAACCCTTGTACACTGTTGGTAGAATTGTATTTGATACAGTCACTATGGAAAACAGTATAGATGTTCCTCCAAAAATTAAAAATAGAACTACCATATGACTTAGCAATCTCACTTCTGGATATATATCTAAAAGTAATGAAATCAATACCTGAAGAGCTATTTGCACTCCCTTGCAGCATTAGTCACAATAGCCAAGACATGGAAACAATCTAAGTGTCTATAGACGGTTAACGAGATAAGGAAATTTTTATATAATATACATAATGAAGTATTGTTGAGCTATAAAAAAGGGAAATCCTGCCAAAGCTTGAGGTCATTGTAGTAAATATCCAAATTATGTAAGGAGCTAATACAACTCAATAGCAAAAAACAAACCAAAAATTTAATTATTATAAATAGACAGAGGTCATTATATAAGTGAAATGAGACAGAGAAAATATTTGTATGATCTCACTCATATGTGGAATCTAAAAAAACTGATCTCTTTGAAACAGAGTAGAACGGTGATTACCAAGGGTGGTGGGGTGGCGAAAATGGAGAGATGTTGGTCAAAGAGTACAAACTTACAGTTAAAAGATGAATCAGTTCTGCCCTGGCCAGGTGCCTCAGTTAGTTGGAGCATTGCCCCATACACCAAAAGGTTGTAGGCTCAATTCCAGTTTAGGGCATATACTTAGGTTGTGGGTTTGATCCCCAGTTGTGGCACATACTAGAGGCAACCCATTGATGTTTCTCTCTCTCACATCAATATTTCTCTCTCTCTAAAAAAATTCAATAAACATATCCTCAAGTAAGGATTTTAAAAAAATGATGAATCAGTTCTGGGATTTAATGTACATGTGATGACTATAGTTAACAATACTGTATTATATACTTGAGAGTTGCTAGGAAAGTAGTCAATGTTGTTACCACAAATTTTAAAAAGATAATTACATATGGTGATGGAGGTTTTAACTACCCATATTGTGGTAAGCCTTTCATAATATATACATGTATCATATTATGTTGTACTCCTTAAACTTATACAATATTACATGTCAATTATATCTCAATAAAGGTGGGAGGGGAAATAAATAATTTTGCATAGGTCCTCCTTTTTTCTCCATTAACCTCTTCCAGCTCACTCCCATCCCCTCTCCATCAGGCCCTCACCACTCTATTGCCTGTGTCCACTGGATACAAGTTCATCCCTTGATCTCTTCCCACCCACCCTCCCCTGCTTTCCCTCTGAGGTTCATGCTTCTATGTCTTTGGGTTTATTTTTGATCATCAGTTTATTTAGTTCATTAAATTCCACATAAGAGTGTAATACTTTCAACAATAAATATTTTTTAAAAGAATATTAAACAAAAAAATAAAATAAAAAAGAGAAAGAAAAATGAAAAAATAAATGCATATATATAAATAAAATAAAAAATAAAATTTGGTATGTATATATTTTTTTAAAAAAGAAAACTTTTCCATGTGCAACAACATGGATGAATCTGGAAGACATTAATGCTAAGTAAAATAAAGCAGTCACAGAAGTACAAATACTGCATAATTCCACTTACATGAGATGTAAAACACTCAAACTCTAGGGACGGGTTAGGGAGAAATTAGTTGTTCAATAGGCATAAAGTTAGTTACATTGGATAAATAAGCTCTAGAAATCCATGTATAGCATTGTGTCTACAGTTAACAATACAGTGCTGTGCACTTAGAATTGTTAAGAGGGAAGTACGTGTGTTAAGTGTTCCTATTACACACACAAAAACAGGGAGGCATAAGATGTCTTTGGAGGCGATGGATATGTTTACTTTGAGAGTGTGATGGTATCACAGGTGTATGAATATGTTCAAACATCAAAACACATACATTAAATATGTATACATTTTTCTATACTATGTATACCTCGAAAAAGGTTAAAATAAGATGCTATCTAGGAACACAGAATAAAGACAGGAAGAAAAAATAATTAAATAATTTATAGAAACTGGAGTAATAAAAATGTGGGAAGAAAACATTATCCTATCTAATAAAAGACAAAAAGGGTAATTAACCATACCTCCACTACACTTCCCATTGGCTAATCAGGGTGATATGCAAATTAACTGCCAAGAAAGATGGTGGTTAACCGCCAACAAAGATAGAGGTTAATTTGCATACATAGGCACAATGATGGGAGGCAAAAGGGGAAGGAGGTGATTGGAAACCCAGGCGGCAGGCAAGAGCCAAAAGGCAGGGCAAAGGCAGCCTCCTGGGGGCTGCCTTTGCCCTGCCTCCTGGCCCAGGATCGAAGAACCAGGCCGCCTTTGTACGCCCCCCAGCCGGTGATCAGAGAAGCCACAATGATCCCACAGCAGACAAGGGCGGCCTGTAGCCAGCCCCCCATGTGCGCCTGCCCCTGGGTCACTGCAGCGATCCCACAGCAGGCAAGGGTGGCCCCACCCTGGCCACAGTTCAAGAGAGAGTACAACATGCAGTGGAGGCCAGGAGCCTGAGTGATCAACAGAGAGGGGCGCCTGCTCCAAGCCTCCACGCTGTGGCTGGGGGCAGGCCCCCAGCAGACACACACACACACACACACACACACACACACACACACGGGACGCCTGATCCAAGCCTCTGCTGCCAGACTGTGGCCATCAGTAGGACATCCACTGAGGGCTCCTGGACTGAGGGGCAGGCTGGGCTGAGGGAACCCTTCCTCCCCAGTGCACAAATTTTATGCACTGGGCCTCTAGTATATTCATAACTAAAGACATGGATTAGAGGGAGTAGTGTGAATATCCAAAGTCTTCACGTAATTTTCTTTTTAAATTTTATTTTAGGTATGAATTTATTTAAAAACAAAAATATGTCCTCATATCATCAAAAAGGTTTCTCCACCAGGCCCATCACATCAACTAAATTCCCAACAAAAGTGATCAATTTATCACCCTTTGACAAGCAAGGTAAAAAATTATACTTATAGACATAAAATAAGTATGTAATTAAAATAGTTTTATAGTATGGTTTTCATTTTTCTCATTTTGCATCTTAATTTTTATTAAAATATCTTAGGTAAATCCTTGCAAGCCTGAAAATGAAATGGTTCTCTCTCTCTCTTTCTCTCTCCCTCCCTCTCTCTCTCTCTCTCTCTCTCTCTCTCCTTTTACTGGCAGGATGATATTTCATAGAATAGAATTAATTGTTCAGATATTTTTCTATTAAAGGGCACTAAGGTTTTTTTAGTATTTTGTTCTTTTGTGTTTTATTTTGTTTTTTGTTTGTTTGATTGATTGATTGTTTTGCTTTTTACCACTACTAAATGTGTTCCTAAACATTTTCTTATGTATTGGTACTTTTATCTCTTTGCGATAGAGTTCCAGGAGTGAGATTGTTAAAGCATACATGGATTTTTTTACTTTAAAAGACACTTTTAGACTGCATTCCTAAAAGGCTATTAAAATTAACGTTTTCAACAGCAATTTGGGGAGAGAAATATTTTCTCTGAATAACCATGAACCATACAGATCAGTGGGGGGGTTTGTGGGGGTGTAAAGGTTTTTCATTTATGCTCATATGACAGTTATTAAATCATATGTCAATCTTATTTTAATTTTTTCATATTTGCTAGTGATCTTTTTTACTGTATAACTACCCCAAACATATTTAGCATAAGCCTTAACTATTAACATAGCTCATATTTAGGAGGTAGCAGTGTAGACTGGGTTGGGCTAACTTATGCATCTTTGGTCAACTTGTGGTCAGTGGTTTCACTCACATGTGTGGCAATTGGCTGGCCATTGTTTGGGTTCCATCAATAAATAGAAACCTCACCGGTGTTTGAAAAAAGAGCAATAATGGGATAAAAAAAACTAAGTAAGTACAAATCTGTAAAGTAACATGGAGGCAGCAATTTCAGGAAAAAGGTTGCCAAACCTAGGGCTGTAGAGAATGCAGCTTGGCTGATATTGTGTCTAACTTTTTAAGAAGGGGACCCAGACATGTTTTGGAAGAGAGGCACTGCTAGTGTCTCAGGTGGTAAGAGACATGTGAGGGCATATTACCTCTTTATCATATAGGATCTAGGTACTCCTATATTGGGTGCATATATGTTTACCAGGGTTATATCCTCTTTTTGGAAAGATTCCTCTAGTATTACTTAGTGACCTTCTTTGCCTCTGCTGTGGTCTTTGGAAGTCTATTTGTCAGGTATAAGTATTGCTACCATAGCTTTTTTCATTTCCATTTACTTGGAAATTTTTTTTCTATCCCTTCACTATCAACCTGTTTGAGTCTTCTGTTCTGAGGTGGGTCTCTTGTAGAGAGCATATACATAGCTCATGTTTCCTTATCCATTTAGCTATCCTCTGTCTTTTCATTTGAGTATATAACCCATTTACGTTTAAGATTATTCTATCTAATAAAAGAGAAACATGGTAATTAGCCGTACCTCCGCTACCCTTCCGATTGGCTAATCAGGGCGATATGCAAATTAACTGCTAGCCAAGATGGCGGCCGGCGGCCAGGCAGCTTGAAGCGAACATGAGACTTGCTTGCTTTAGTGACAGAGGAAGCCAACGTTCCCACCTGCCGCTGCCGGCCTCTGAGCTTGCAGTTTGAAACATTGTTACAAATATAGAAGCTAAACAAAACCCCAGAAACCTGCTTTCAGCCAGCCGGGATTTCAGAGCTGGAGTTGAAACAGTGTTTTGATTATAGAACCCAAACAAACCAGATACCTGCTTTCAGCAGCAGAGGCCTCAGAGCTGGAGCCAAGCCTCAGAGCTAAAGCTGGCCCAGAATAAAAAAAGAAAAGAAAAAAGGACAGGTTGGGAGCTTCAGTCACCCGCCAGCCTGAAAACAGCCCTCAGCCCCTCACCCAGACTGGCCAGGCACCCCAGTGGGGACCCCCACCCTGAAGGGTGTGTGACCAGCTGCAAATAGCCATCATCCCCTCACCCAGGCTGGCCAGGCACCCCAGTGGGGACCCCCACCCTGATCCAGGACACCCTTCAGGTCAAACCAGCTGGCCCCCTCCCGTGCACCAGGCCTCTATCCTATATAGTAAAAGGGTAATATCCTATATAGTAAAAGGGGAATCAGCGGAGCAGCAAGGCCTGCCAGCACTGGGATCAGCGGAGCCACGAGTCCTCCTGGCACTGGGATCAGCGTGACAGGGGTAAGCAACAAATCCCCTGATCGCCCTGCGGCTCTGTATGTGACATGGAGTGGGGCCACAACCTCCCTATCCTCCCTGCTCTGCTCATGACAGGGGAAGGCTCCCCAACCGCCTGATCAGCCCTGCTCTGTGCCTGATAGGGGGGATCCCCCCAACCCCCTGATCGGCCCTGCTCTGTGTGTGACAGGGTAGAGCCATAACCTCCCCATCGGCCCTGCCCAGAGTGTGACAGTGGCGGCGCATCAACCCCTGATCGGCCCTGCTCTGTGTGTGACAGGGGACGGTGCCCCAACTCCCCTATAGGCCCTACTCTGTGAGTGACAGGGGAGAACTCCTCAACCCCCTGATCAGCCCTGCTCTGTGTGTGACAGAGGGGAGCTCCTCAACCCCCTGATCTGCCCTGCTCTGTGCGTGACAGGGTACAGAGCCCCAAACCCCCTGATGGGTCCTGCTCTGTGAGTGACAGGGGGAAATGCCCCAACCCCCTGATTGGCCCTGCTCTGTGCATGACAGGGGGTGGCACCATAACCTCCCTATCGACCCTGCCTTGAGTGTGACAGGGGTGGTGCCCCAACCCCCCAATCGGCCCTACCCTGAGCATGACTGAGGGTGGCATCGCAACCTCCCAATCCACCCTGCTCTGTGCATGATAGGGGGCAGTGCCCCAACTCCCCAATCAGCCCTGCTCTGAGCCCGACCAGGGGCTGCACCTAGGAATTGGGCCTTCCCTCTGCCACCCGGGAGCAGGCCTAAGCCAGCAGGTCATTATCTCCCCAGGGGTCCCAGACTGCGAGAGGGCACAGGCCGGGCTGAGGGACGCCCCCCTCCCCCCCGAGTGCACAAATTTTTGTGCACCAGGCCTCTAGTTATTGATAAGTACTTATTTATTTCCATTTTTATTCTTTATGCCTATGTTCCTCTCTTTATATATTTCTTCTTCTTACAACAGTCCTTTTCACATTTCTTGCAATGCTGGTATGCTGGTAATAAACTCTTTTAATCTTCCTTTGTTTTGGAAACTCTTCATTTCCCCTTCAATTTTGAATGATAGTCTGACTAGATACAGTAGTCTTAGTTTCAGGTCCTTTCTTTCCATTACTTTGAATATTTCATGCCATTCTTTTCGGACCTGGAGTGTTTCTATTGAGAAGTCAGCAGACAGGCCTTATGGGAGCTCCCTGTAGGTAACAAACTCTCTTGCTACCCTTAAGTTTTCTCTTTGTCTTTAGCATTTGCTATTTTAATTATGATGTGTTTTGGTGTAGGTCTCTTTATATTCGTCTTGACTTTTTAACTCTTTCTGCTTCCTGAACTTGTGTGACTTTTTCCTTCACCAGGTTAACGTTTTCTGCAAGTATTTCTTCAAACAGGTGCTCACTTTCTTCACCCTCTGGGACCACTATTATGTGGATGTTGTTCCATTTCATGTTGTCTCATAGTTCCCTTAAACTCCAAGTTGCTTTAAGTGTTTTTCATTATGCAGCTCTATTTGAGTGTTTGGTTTCTTCTACAGTGTCTTCAAAATTGCTGATTAGAGCCTCAGCTTCACCAAGACTGTTTTTAATTGTTTCCAGTTTATTATTGATGTCAGTTATAGTCTTCCTCATTTCCAACTGCATCTTATTCATGGTTTTTATGTCATTATTCATGCTGATGTTTTTCCCATTAAGTTACTTGTAGTTCACACTAAGTTTCTTGTAGTTCTCAATAACTTTCTTGAGCATCCTCGTAGCCATTACTTTGAAGTCTGTGTCTGATAAATTGCTTACCTTCATCTCATTTCAGCCATTTTTGGGAGATTCCCCCTTTTCTTTCATTTGGGTGTTGTTTCTGTATCTCACATATTAGTTGTCTCTTTTTGTTTGTTTCTATGTATTAGATTTACCAACTATTACTTCCAGCCTTTGTGGGATAGCCTTATATAGTAAATGCCCTATGGGACACAGTGGTTTTGTTTCCTTGAACGCCTGAGCCGGATGCTGTAGGAGTGACACTTTTGTGTGTTATTTACACCCTCCTGTGTGTTTTTTTTTCCTTCCCCCCCCCTAAGGTATGGGAAAAGATATTTAATAAAAATAAAAACAAACTAACTAAAAATAATCTGGGGTAACAACACTCATCCCAGACAAAATAGACTGTGTAACAAGAGACAATGAAGGACTCAGCAATTCTGCTTTGGTATTTTTCAGAAGAAACCCAAACTACTAAATTAAAAAGACGTATATAGCTCTATGTTTATTGCACCATTACTTTATTTATTTTAATCTTTATTGGTGAAAGTATTACATTTGTCCTCCTCTTTCCCCCATGGATGCCCTCCCTGCCCCAGGTCTGAACCACCTTATTGTCTGTGTCCATGGGTTATGCATATATGCATTATGCATACAAGTTCTTTGGTTGATCACCTCCCATCCACCCAAATTTCGCCACCTTCCCTCTGAGATTCTGCACTTTGTTGCATGTTTCCATGTCTCTGGATCCACTTCATTAATCAGTTTATTTTGTTAATTAGATGCCACATATGAGTGAGAGCATGTGATACTTGTCTTTCTCTGACTGGATTACTCCATTCAGCATAATACTCTCCATGGTCCCTCCATATAGTCTCAATGGTATGAAATCCTTCCGTTTTACTGCTGCATAGTATTTCATGGTATGAATATACCACAGCTTTTTAAAAATATACATTTTTATTGATTTCACAGAGAAAGGGAGAGTTAGAGAGAGATAGAAACATCAAGGATGAGAGAGAATCATTAATTAGCTGCTTCCTCTATGACCCCCACT